CTTGATGCTGTATCTCTGCTTGGGAGGGAGGGAGGGAGAGGGCGGGGGGGGAGGGGCATGGAGAGAGTTGAACTCGTTTGTTCGTGAATTATCCTTTTCCCATGATCTCCATTCCGTCCTCCACCCCTGCCCCCCCCCCCTTCACACACTCACACTCACGGATAACCAAGAAACTGTCTAACTGTAAAATTGCTTATAATGATTTTAAATCACCACTCTACCCGACGTTGGAAACTTGGGGGACCGGTAGCACAGGTTCATGAGGCTACTGGTAGCATAGTGTGGAGAACCGCCACAGCGGCGACAATGGGGAATGCGATGAATTGCCGCAACCACCTGTTTCGTGGATGTAACATTTTTTGTTAAAATTTTAAATATTTTTCCTGCAAAGATCACAACCAAATTTACAGACCTTCCAAGTTTCAGATTTCTTTACATATTCCTCTGAGCGTGAAAAATCGCTGAAATTGGGGTACTTTTCCCACTGGCCCACAAGTTGTAGAGTGGCAAAAATGGAAAATGTGACGAATTGGCGCGGCATTTATTTCATGGGCTGAATGATTTATTTTTTTCATTTTTCTGATATTTTTCCTGGAAAGATCATGACCTTCTGCAGGATTTCAAAATTTCAGGTTCTTTATCTTGATTTTTCTGACCGCGAAAAATCGCCAAAGGTGGCGTGTGAAAATTGCAGGACCGGACCAGCGAGCGCCCGCCCGCCGGTCGGCACCCGCCGTAAAGACCTGCTCCGAAACTCACCGGAACGCCACTTTATGGCGCCGGGTAGAGTGGTGGTTCAAATGGTGGTCTGTCTCGACTCAAGTGCTCTCATGGTCTGCAATAGGACAAAATTAGCTTCGATTCTGAATCTACCCATCGGGGTGGAATCGGGGCTGTTGTGGGGGAATTATAAAACACACCCAGGACAAACGGTTTCCAATTCCCCAACTATGTCCCTTGGTTCTTCTTTCCATTTTTAGTAGTTTTACCTTTAGATATTTACCTGTCCCATGGTTTTCACCTCTTGTTTTTTTTTTTTGGGGGGGGGAAGGGTAACTAGGGCGCAGTCCCGATTTCAGTTTGAAATCCAATTCAGGCATCCCTTGAATACAACACATCCCCACGCAACCCTGAAGCTGGGTTGTATACGTTCACAATTTTCCTTTGTTTGACACAACATTCATGAAATCATGACTGAAACGCATTTTCAAACTGGAACCTTGACAGCACCCAAGTTTTCCCGTCTTCCCCCCCCCCCCCCCCCCCCCCCGTTGAGATGAGACTCCTGTCGCTGCAGACTTTGTACCATGGTTTTCCTCTCGTGTATGCGTTGTATGTGTTCAATTTTTTTATTTTCTTTTGTATGTGTTCAATTTTTTTCTTTTTTTCTTTTAATGGTGTAACGCCTAACTTTATTCCAGTAAATTGTATCCATTTGATACCATCGGGAATCGAACTCGTGAGTCATGACATGTTTATTTATCTGTCGATACAAGCTATTGAAGTCGATCGGCCGTGGACTCTGACACAGCCTGTCGTGGCCTTTTGTTTGATGTTTGAAGGCGGCCAAGATTTGTCCTGAAATGCGTTCTTTTCTTGACACCTGGTGGTCTGTTTGGCGGCCAAGTGGATAGTCTGCCTGGTTGAGAAATCTGTCGGTGAGCCTAGAGAGCTTCCACAAATGTCAGAAATGTCAGAGAGCATCAGAGATTGTCAGGGAGTGTCGGAGATGTGACATGTCTGGGGTGTCCGATGTCCGAAACCATGCGGCGTCGTGATGTGTCGCATTGCGAATAGAAATGACCCGAAAAAGGAACTTGCACGACACGAGAAGAAACGACTGAGAAAGTCGCACGAGTCGACAAAAAGAGAGTGGACTCTAAAAATCGCGCGACTGGAAAAGAAGCGACTTGAAAAAAGTATATTTTTTTCCAGCTGTGAACAGGAGCGAAACTGAATGATTGCCAGCTGTGAACAGGAGCGAAACTGAATGAATGCTAACTAACAACCTTTATTCTTTGCCTCCAAGCGACAGGTTCTAAGGAAATCTCTAATCAAGTTTGCTTGCAGCTAGTTGAAGCCAATCGAGAAATCATCTACCTCAATATAAACACTTGTTCCCGTCAACTACGAAGAAAAACATGAGTACCAAAAAAATTTGCGTTATGTTAATTAGCATGCCATTTGCAAACTCGATCCGCCAGTTTGCAACAGGCTAGCGCAGAATCTTGTTTTTTTTACCTCTTGCCGTGCGAGGCATATGACGGCTTTTTTAATTTTCTTTTCTTTTGTTAATGTAGATCGTGAAGTGCTAAGAAGGAGTTGTGACTTGTGCAAAGCAGAAAGATCAGATGTCCCGATATGACCAGTGACAAAGACGACAAGGGCACAAGGGGCCACTCCCTGAACAGGCACCTCTATTTTATTTCCTAACTTTTTAAATAATCACCTTGTCTACCAGGGCAGAAGAAATGGGGTTTCTTTAAAAAAAAAAAAAAAAAAAAAGAAGCCCTGCCAACCATCTAATCTAAATCGGTAAGGCATCAAACTGCCCTTCATGAAGTTATGGGTTCAATTATAATTCACCTTGCTTGCATGGTTTCTCTCTTTCTCATTTTTAAGAAAAACAAGCGGACGCTGTCCACGTTCGAGGCAGAGGCCATGAAAAAGAAAAGACAACCACATCCCAACATCAGACACAGTTTGGTCCTCGGTACGGGCAGGCAGCACCATGCAGGTATGGCCTAGCATGTGGGCCCTCCTTCCATTGAGCATGGCCTTTATGATGTGCATTTATCTGAGTATGCCGGTCTGACTTCCATTGGTGAACAGCTCCTATGTGCTTGTATCTGGACATGCGGGGCTTTTTTCCATTCGGCCAGACCTCCTCTGGACTTCCACTCAAACATGTGGGCCTTCCCGGGCCGGCCTCCTATAAACTTACATTTGAACATGCAGGTCTGACCGGACCTTTTATGTACCTGCGCTCCTATGTACTCGGGCCTCATTTCTGCTTGTATTTTGAACATGCAGGGCTTCCTGAGTGTCCGTGGGCCGCCTCTGTAGTTGTATTTGATCATGTGGGGCTACCCGGTGTCGGAGGGCGCGGTGTTCCGACCCTCCGCCGTGTTCTGAATGCCTGCTTACTCCGCTGTGTAACGACTGCCTGCTGATGAAACCCCATGACATTAGGTTCGCCTGGGGCTCCCTCTACCGCAGGGCTGGTCCAGTTGACGCTCTCACTGGTAAAAGGGGGGGTTGGGCCACTGGACTTTCCATTGGTCCACGCCGGCTCAGCGCCCTGCTGTACAGCAGAGCACAATCGCCCTGAGACTGTGGTAGCTGCCGGGCTCGCCCAGGGACGGGGGGATAGAGGGACCGTCGCGGTCTTTTGCACTGTGTGCAGTTTACCATCCAGTCAAGTTATGGGTTAGGTATGCGTCACGGCTGTCACTGTCAAGCAAGAAGAGAGTTAGGGAGAAAAGGAGAAAGAGGGTGGACGAGTGAGGAAAAGCCGCGCGTCGAATTTGCGCCCCGATTCGGACCATCACTTTCGTTTGAATTACGTAGCGGTGTCAGGCTGCAGCAGCGCTACGCTTTTCCTCCTCTTCTTTTCTTTTTCATACTGTTATTATTACTATTATTATTATCTGCCTTTGAAATTTTATTTCCCTCTTTCAGTCACTTCGCGGGGGGGGCGAATGGTTTAATTTTGAACTGCGTTCGTGGGCTGGGCCCTAGACCGACCGACCTTCCCCATCTCGCTTTTTCGTAGATACAACCGACTAAGCGCCACGAAGCAGGACCCCAAAAGAGGGGCAACCCGCGTGGCAGGGAGCTTATCACCGCCTGTGAAAGGTCATAAGCCCCCTCCTTGCCATCGAACACGGGTACCCATCAGTGGTAGTCCGTTGGCACTCTATGAAGGAGGTGAAGCGCTGGTCGATACCCCGCTATGGGACCACCGCATGCAGAAACCAGCCGTCATTTTCGTCGGGCTGAAAAGACTGCTAGTGAGCTGAAAGATTAATTATGGGTGACCGTTGAAGTACCAAAGATCTGGAGAGTTTTCTTTTACTTAAAATGTATGGAAATTGGTGGAATAGCTATTCTAGAATTTATTTACTGAAAAAAATGAATTCCAGGGTGTCCTTTAGAGCATAGGGTATTGCCCACTTCAAAAGTTTGTAAAAGAGATGTCGCGGGTCAGTCAAACTACTGGTTACTAGGTGCATACATATTGCCAAGTCGCCCCGCGCATTTTTTAAGACAGAATTGTAAGACTGGGTGGTTATACTTTGTACTGCAGCTATAGGTGCGAGTGTGCCACTGCTTACTAAGGTCAGGCCGAGCTGAAGACGAGTGACTATGGCATACCGAAATGGCCTGCATGGCTACAGGCCAAGGTACATGAGGTACTCTTGGACCTGGGAGCGCGAGGATGAAAAGGGCGCACTGGTTGAGACCATACTGTCCTATGGGACGCATACGGGGCAAGTGAGGTGGAAGATCAACGTCTGCGGCCGCCGAGAGCAGGAGATGAGAAGAGACGAGGGGCTGCAGGCAGCTATTACGGAGGCCCGCAATAGAGCTGAGCGAAGGCGCAGACGAGACGGAGTGACTACGGCTATGCGGGTGACGGTCACTTATCACGAGGATGACCCGTCAACTGGGACCACGGAAAGGGAGCAGCAGCACCTTGACCGGGA